TGGGCTCTAGTGTCCCAATCGCTCCAGGTGCTAGTTATTGCTATGTCCTCATCTTCAGAAGGGTAATACTGAATACTCATGTTTCAAATGTTTCGGTGGGCTCTAGTGTCCCAATCGCTCCAGGTGCTAGTTATTGCTATGTCCTCATCTTCAGAAGGGTAATACTGAATACTAACGTTTCAAATGTTTCGGTGGGCTCTAGTGTCCCAATCGCTCCAGGTGCTAGTTATTGCTATGTCCTCATCTTCAGAAGGGTAATACTGAATACTAATGTTTCAAATGTTTCGGTGGGCTCTAGTGTCCCAATCGCTCCAGGTGCTAGTTATTGCTATGTCCTCATCTTCAGAAGGGTAATACTGAATACTAATGTTTCAGATGTTTCAGTGGGCTCTAGTGTCCCAATCGCTCCAGGTGCTAGTTATTGCTATGTCCTCATCTTCAGAAGGGTAATACTGAATACTAATGTTTCAAATGTTTCGGTGGGCTCTAGTGTCCCAATCGCTCTAGGTGCTAGTTATTGCTATGTCCTCATCTTCAGAAGGGTAATACAGAATACTCATGTTTCAAATGTTTCGATGGGCTCTAGTGTCCCAATCGCTCCGGGTGCTAGTTATTGCTATGTCCTCATCTTCAGAAGGGTAATACTGAATACTAATTTTTCAAATGTTTCGGTGGGCTCTGGTGTCCCAATCGCTCCAGGTGCTAGTTATTGCTATGTCCTCATCTTCAGAAGGGTAATACTGAATACTAATGTTTCAAATGTTTCGGTGGGCTCTAGTGTCCCAATCGCTCCAGGTGCTAGTTATTGCTATGTCCTCATCTTCAGAAGGGTAATACTGAATACTCATGTTTCAAATGTTTCGGTGGGCTCTAGTGTCCCAATCGCTCCAGGTGCTAGTTATTGCTATGTCCTCATCTTCAGAAGGGTAATACTGAATACTCATGTTTCAAATGTTTCGGTGGGCTCTAGTGTCCCAATCGCTCCAGGTGCTAGTTATTGCTATGTCCTCATCTTCAGAAGGGTAATACTGAATACTAATGTTTCAAATGTTTCGGTGGGCTCTAGTGTCCCAATCGCTCCAGGTGCTAGTTATTGCTATGTCCTCATCTTCAGAAGGGTAATACTGAATACTAATGTTTCAAATGTTTCGGTGGGCTCTAGTGTCCCAATCGCTCCAGGTGCTAGTTATTGCTATGTCCTCATCTTCATAAGGGTAATACTGAATACTAATATTTTCAAATGTTTCAGTGGGCTCTAGTGTCCCAATCGCTCCAGGTGCTAGTTATTGCTATGTCCTCATCTTCAGAAGGGTAATACTGAATACTAATGTTTCAAATGTTTCGGTGGGCTCTAGTGTCCCAATCGCTCCAGGTGCTAGTTATTGCTATATCCTCATCTTCAGAAGGGTAATACTGAATACTAATGTTTCAAATGTTTCGGTGGGCTCTAGTGTCCCAATCGCTCCAGGTGCTAGTTATTGCTATTTCCTCATCTTCAGAAGGGTAATACTGAATACTAATGTTTCAAATGTTTCGGTGGGCTCTAGTGTCCCAATCGCTCCAGGTGCTAGTTATTGCTATTTCCTCATCTTCAGAAGGGTAAAACTGAATACTAATGTTTCAAATGTTTCGGTGGGCTCTAGTGTCCCAATCGCTCCAGGTGCTAGTTATTGCTATGTCCTCATCTTCAGAAGGGTAATACTGAATACTCATGTTTCAAATGTTTCGGTGGGCTCTAGTGTCCCAATCGCTTCAGGTGCTAGTTATTGCTATGTCCTCATCTTCAGAAGGGTAATACTGAATACTAATGTTTCAAATGTTTCGGTGGGCTCTAGTGTCCCAATCGCTCCAGGTGCTAGTTATTGCTGTGGTCTTTAGTTGGAAACCTAGATTCGCCCTGGTAACGACACTTGATGTGTCTGTCCATAGTCGTGGGTTGAACCAAAATGGTAAATGTCCAATTCCAAGCGACAAGCCACTTTCCATATTCATAAGAAATCTCTCTTAAAGGGAGAGTCCTTTGCACGATTCCGAACTTGAGTTTGTGAATCATTATCAAATAGTGACGATACCAGGTGTTCACGAGAAGAGTGGGGTCGGGGATGTGGGTTGTGGGTTGTGGGTGTGGGTGTGGGGTGTGGGTGTGGGGTGTGGGTGTGGGTGTGGGTGTGGGTGTGGGTGTGGGTGTGGGTGTGGGTGTGGGGTGTGGGTGTGGGTGTGGGTGTGGGTGTGGGGTGTGGGTGTGGGGTGTGGGGTGTGGGTGTGGGGTGTGGATGTGGATGTGGGGTGTGGGTGTGGGTGTGGGGTGTGGGTGTGGGGTGTGGGTGTGGGGTGTGGGTGTGGGGTAGGGTGCATCCTGCCCTACCTATGACACCAATCACAAACACATCCGATAGTTCACCCAAAACACGATAACATGTGGTCAAAATAGGGAATTGCATCGGACATAATTTTTGTCACTGATGCGTAAAATTTGGACATGTCCTCCATATGTTTGCCATAGAACGTTTTGAGTCGATTGATCCTCTTTGAAATCTTGGTAGGAAGAGCATGCTCGACTGTACCTCAGTAGTTGTGAAATGTAGACACCAAAGACTGGAGCTGCTTGAATATTGCTCGACATAATGGGAAAGTTGATTCACCTGGCAGGAAAGACCGGAATCAATTCTGTTAGCTGTAAATTTAAGCCATGTACGATAGTGAGATTCTGTGACAACTGTCACACAAAGTCTACACAGATAAAGAGATATTGACGAATCTATTTCCATGGTGAGTGGTGATGTTTCTTCACCATCACTTCGAACCGTACTAAAGTTATATCATGGCGTGTCAGCTTTATGTGTGAGGACATCTAAACGTGCCACAGGTCCAAGACGTGTCACAATATTGGAAAACCCAATTACAGTAATGATGCTGTTTCATCAAAGGTCAGAGTATCCCATGAAGATCCAAGTTATAATTGGTCCTCAGCAACTCTTCATTGCGTAAGAGTCGACTGATCGGGTGCTCAAGCTTGCTGACTTGGTTGATACATGTCGTATCACAATAGCGTAGTTCGATGCTTATGATGTCAATCACTGGTATGTCTGGTCCAGAATTGATTATTTACTGACCGCCGTCATATAGCTGGAATATTGCTGAGTGTGGCGTTAAACAACAAACACATCAGTAAACAAACAAGGATCATAGTCGTGGCGAAACTTGGGTTCGAACTTCCCAGCGTATCCCGTCATCTGACCCTGATGGGCCACCCTTGCAGACATTACGTGGATAGAAACCTTCCATTGATGTACATGTATCTGAATAGGATCCCTCAGCGTCATCAGTTTCATAATCAGTTTGTATTTCATAGTGTTTCATGTCCACAGAGATGATATATTTGAATGAATATGAAAATACTGAAACCTTGTATTCATGAAACTTGACAGCGATGTACCTCTATATATGGCGGTGGTTTGTAGAGAGAGCCACACCCACGTACCTCTGTCCTGTAATTAGGTGAACACATCCTCTCATACTGTTAAGCCCCACCATGACGACAGAATATTCCTTTGTTCTGTCTGGTTCCTGGTTGACATGATGCCACGATGACCACTTGTGTCTCCACCTTAGACTACAGATGTCCAAATGTTCATCCCACATGTCATCAGCTGGTTCTGTAGACATACATCGTCTCACGTTAAGAACTTCACAAGTTTATTGACAACTTAATCCAGTGTTGTGAGCTCATGGGAACGAAGCATACTACATCAATCAAAACATTAATTACATCTGACAAAACCACTATATGCTTCAAAGGATTATTAAAGCCGTGGTCAGGCATGCTTTGGTCTTTTTGATCAAATATTTAGCGGAATATGAATAAATAATGGATGAGGTATTGAAGCCATTTGTGTCGAGGTTTGTGGTCTGGTGTACATTGTAGGTGTTTAACAAAGCCTAACAGTGGGTAGCACTGTCGAGCGGAGACTTCCAAGGGACACTTTAAATAGTCAGTGATTTACAAGAATGATGAATTGTCACACATTTTTCTCAAAGGAACAACTTAACGGTAATTGTCGCTTGATGTGCATTCGGTTTACGAGCTATAATATCACATTGAGTTGATTTCAAAAATAGATATAAAATTTTAAAAAGTAATGTAAGTCATCGCCGGGGATTTCTCTGTCATGTGATGGACACCGAAAGGCGTGAATTTCATTTCCTCTTTTCTTCTATAACCCAAAATTACATATAAATAGATTATATTTCATTCATAAGAAGGGATATTAAACGCGGTAAATTTAGACGTCACAAATGAAAGATTGGAAAACTATTGCCAAAATGCAAAGTAGGTATAATTAAGATCCCGGTATTCCGGGCTGATATATGCTTAACGCTTACACGTTTGGAGGTCATTGATATGTCGTATTTCCTTTCTCGTAAAACGTGATTTGTATCTTGTATCACAGTACAATTATACGAGTGGATGTACCAACCAGTGAAGCCATTCCTGTATCATCTTACTGACAGGAGCCCTTAGTGTCGTGCCGTACAGTCGTTTCAGTGGTTCCAATCTGCCTGAGATCTTTTCGTCCACGGTCTAACGAGGTGCACTACTTAGATATGTTTTAGAATGACATGCATTCTTGGTGCCTCGCACAAATCTGTTGAAAGTGGTTCACGCGGGTTCCAAATACCACCAATATCCGTGTTTACATTCTAAATGTGAAACATGTGGGAAGGACAAAAAGATGTTGAGTAAGTTTCCTCTCTAGCATGCAACAGATGTACAGGGTTCGTATTTAACGATTTGACTTTACGTCACTCAAATGCATTCGGTCAACCTAGCTCCATGGCATTACAGATGGCATCCTTGGGAACTAGAATGGAATGTTAAAACTTCCTGTTCAGACGAACTCGCTATGATAGCAATAATTAGATGTGATATAATGATAAATAAACTCATTACAACTTAGCCCGTCGCCGGTATTTTGAAATGTGTATTTTTTTCATTGCAGGTAGTTTGGCGTCGTTCTTCTGACCCAAACCCTCTGACTATCGGAACCACAACGTATTTCCGGGATAAACGTCTTTTTGTAAATCATGAGAAACTCTCCCTGGAGTGGAACCTCCATATCCGGAACGTGTCCCTGGAGGACGCTGGTGTCTATGAGTGTCAAATCAGCTCAAAGACAAGGAGCATTCGCCATAATGTTTTACTGAGGGTCGAGGGTAAGCTTTCCAAGACAAAATCAACTCAAATGCTTTCTTTCCTATTGCACCTTCGGGAACACTTTGGGGTATACGTTATATTTTACAGACTCGAAAGCGCACAAATCTATCTTCTTGTAGGGTTTATTTGGAGTTTTATGAAAAGCATTAAATGATAAAATATAATAGACGAAACACCTCCCATTCAAAAAGAAAAACCTTTCACACATGATAACATGAGAGCAAACTAGACACGTTTGTGGAATTATTTGAAAACATTCACTGAAACTATACACAGTTTTTACAGATTTTCCAAGTGTCGACTTTGTGTTGTCGGTCGAATGGTTTGAGCGTAAAGATAGGTTCAGAAACTGTCTTACTAAGAACCATTTAAATCCCCTGGGATATAGCGTGAAACAAAATATCTTACATGAAATTTACAAATTGGTTAAAATGAAAATTTGAAATAAGATATAACAAATTATAGTTGCTATGCTTAAAAACACTTTTGTATAATTGAATTTTTCCACCAAAGGTTATGTCATTTAGCACCGGGCCCTGAAGACATATAGCATATAACTAGAAACCAGTAAAAACTCTCATGTTTATAATGTGCCTTCAAAAATTATCTGGAAGACGAGTATACATGATTAGATAAAACTTCATCGGCTTCTACTAAAACTAAACACTTAAACCTGGTCCTCATCAAAATAACCTCATCTCCATGTTTCAAAATAAATCCTTGTTTTTCCCATGGGTTGCAATGGTAATGCGGTATGATAGCAGCAGTGCTCGTAGACAGCGTAGTGTAAGCTCATTTATGAAGGCAATTGTTCTAACCCCGAAGCCACAATCTACATCCGATAAACTAAATGAATATGCGGAAGACACTTGTTAGCTGGTCGACTCTAAACTCCCAGCGGCGCCTGGAAGTTATGAAAGTCGAATCGTTCAAAGGAAATATGTATTTGTGTGGTTCTAAGCAGGATGTATGTTGGGACAGTGTCATCTATAGAGAATAGATTTTAGGAAAGTGGGACGTAGGATTAAAGGAAATGTTTGTGTTCTGACATTACCTTGGCAGAAATGTCTGAGTCACATATTTGTCTGAGGCTAGCTTTATCCATGATTTTATCCTATGGTAATTCAGGAAGATTTCATGAAAAGTAGCCTCCATTTGTACGAGGGAGGGATGCAAAAACTGAGTTTAAGAGAAGGGGAGGCGCTGCCAGGACTAAAACGTAATAGGAATAACTAGGTGCGTGCGTATATGCATGTATATGCGTGTGTTTGTGTGTATGTGTGTGTGTGTCCGCATGTGTGTGCATGTGTGTATGTTTATGTTGTTATACAGACACTACTGGAAAGTACTGGAATACAACAGCTGGCGATGGCTGTGGCTATTCTAGACAATTTGATCCCAGAACACTCGTGGGTGAGTGAGTGAGGTGGGCTTGCAGATGTATCCCAATACAGTAGTATACAAGAATTACCTGATGGGGAATGGGATGTAGATTATTTAACAATGTCTCCTGAGCAGGTGTATCAATAAAATATATTCTCAAAATTATGAAATCAGGGCTAGTTGCGACAACACATGGAGTTAGGTGACCTTCTCATGTGAGAACCATTCGTTTGAAAACATCAAAACATTGGCGGTTGGTGACTTTCGTTGACTGCGGCAAATATACATTGAGAGGGAAACTTCTACAGAATGGTGTTCCCATGCTATTGCTGTTCATGGTCGTGTACATTCTTAGAACCTTCTTACAGCCACGTTATTCCTCGGCTGTGTCATCATGTGTTTCTGATACTTTGGTGCAGACATGGCGTGAAACTACTGAAGGAGAGACGGGATATGATAGGCTTAGAGGTGACATTGACCCACCTGAAGGTGTGAAATGTTATAACAACCCACGTGAAGGTGTGACATGCTATAACATTTCGTATCTCAGGTTCACATTCCGGGTAACTTTGATTAACCCCAAGCAAGACATTTGCTACAGTTTCGTTTGGACTGTTTTCGTGGATAGTTCCTGGGCGTTCTACCACAGAATAAAAAAAAGTTTAATGGTTTACCTGAATGAGACTGAGTATATCTTTACGCCGTTGGTAAGCGGAGTGAGTAAGTATGGTTTTACGCCGCTTTTAGCAATAGTCCAGCAATATCACGGCGGGGGACACCCAAAGTGGGATTCACACTTTGTACCCATGTCGGGAATCGAACCCGGATCTTCGGCGTGACGAGCGAACGCTTTGACCACTTGGCTACCGACCGCCCCCGTTTGTAAGCAGTATCCCAGAAATATAACGGCAGTATACACAAGCCATTGGCTTTACACATTGTACCCATGTGGGGAATCGAACCCAGACCGATGGCTTGTCGAGCAGGCACATAACCACTGGGCTACACCTCTGCCCTAACAAAACAAATTGCTGTAGGCGAAGATCCCTCTAAACGAACGGATACATTACTATCTAATATCATTACCCGCTCGAATTAAGCTATTACATCAGTAGGAGTTCGTGAAATGACAGAGGGATAGTGATGGCGGGATGACATGAAGGTGCACAGTGGTTGATGATGAATGCAGGGCCAGATAGAGGTTGTATGCGTGTTTAAGGCCTGGGGGGGGGGGGGGGGGGGATGTGTTGACCTCAACAGAAGAGATGAGCATGGGTAGAGGTGGTTTAGCAAATGTACAGATCCAGGTACAGTAAGTTGGATTTAACGCCGCTTTTAACAGTGTTCCAGTTATATTGCGGCGTGTCAGCTTAATGTGGGAGGAAAGCCCGATGTGATGCAGGTCTCAGAGCACGGGTATGGTGCTGACAAACCTAGAAAAATAATAGCCGGGATTCGAACCCACAATCATAGGTTTCTGGCGTGCCCAAGGGACGCAACTCTGCACAAAGAATCGCGGCGCCTTAGACGACTGGGCCACCCATGCCCCAGATCCAGGTTCAGTTTTATATCAGATGAAACTGAATAAACAATGACATGGATGATTATGGTGTAAAATCCAGACGTAGATCGACTTAATCCCAACAGCTGTTGTTATTGCTAATTAGAAGCCAAAGAGGCGAACACACCAAGGTTTATTATACACCCCCACTCCCCCAACACACAAACACACAAGTGCCCGAGACGGGCGTCACCTGTATCAAGAAGATCTTGTGTTCAGGAAAGGCACACACGCCTGTATAGTAACTCTATTGTTCGTGTGAAGATTGTACTACAGTGTTATCGATATAAGACATGTTTATCTAACATGTCACTGAACGATTTTCAGATCGATCCCCGAACTGTGTTGTTAAAGTTTGTACCTGCTAGAACCAGGAATGTCACGTACTCAGTGAAACAACAAATATCACTGTATGTAAGCATAAAGTATAGATTACCTGCTCGTGTGACCTTACAGTGAGAGTACGGCATACGAGTGTGAACCTAAGAATTCCTATTTAATCTCATGACATTAAATGCATGCAGATATTCTTAAATTTAGATAAACAACACTGACATAAAACACGTGCTCATCGCGCATGCATCACATACTCTACGTGTTAATGAGTGTTCATTTACATACTTGAAAAGTGAAAAACTGGAGAGATTGACGATGTCAAAAATGTGCATGAATTTGGCAAAGACGCTAAGATTCTCCCCCTGTACCGAGAACTACTAAAATACGAGGCAATGTGATATCACCCTGTCTGATTCCCCAGGAATGTCTCTTTATGTGCACGCGTTCAGACTTTAATTTGAATTAATGGTATGAATGTTACGTTGAACAGGTGTAGATAAAGAGAGTGATCATATCTCCAAGCAAGGGAATTAGGCAGCTGGGTGTTGTACGCTTGTTAATGCCGCACTGCCTTTTCATGTACCTATGCAAAATATGTATTAATGATTTCCATACTGCACACAGAGTAATTTATATGGTAATGAATCTAATGTACATAAATAGGTATGTGAGTTGTATTTAATATGTTGTTAATCAACGTCATGAATATGAAACGAATGACTCATGAAGAACTGAATCTTTCTTAACAGATGAAATTTCGTGTTTAATGTTTTATACATAGCCTTTGTTAGAATCTTACCACCCCCCCCCCCCCCCCCCCCCCCAATACACACACAACCACCACTCCCTCACCCCAATTACCAAAATTGCCATTTCAAAGTAATCTGTTCAAGATTCAAAGATATATATAAACACTGGCTTGCCTGATATTATTTGTGTGTCTATTAAAGTATAATGAATAAATAATTAAGTGTTTTTTTTTTTTCCATTTCAGATGCACCCTTCAGGCCAACCTTTAAACCAGGTAGGGTTTTTTCTCTTCTCTTCTCCTTCCTGTGTATGCCTTGTATTGTATTTGCTGATTTCCATCCGAGTCGGGGACGATTATGTGGTTAGGTTGGCACTGGGGATTTTAGGAGTTCATGTCACACACGAGTAGTAACTGTTTCATGGGCGTGAAGCACCATTAACAGACTTACACGATGTACACTAGGAGCAGGACTAGGAGTGGCACACTTGGCCAAAGCATTGCCTCTTTGTAGGTGTTCGCTGGTCCCAGGCAGGGTGTGCAGACAACTATAGTGTTCTCAGAAGCACTCGGTGACCAATGCATCACTGATTAAATGTACTACACAGGCGTCTCGAGATGGTTATAGGGCGCTGTCATGTGTTGTGTCGGGAATGCTTAAACTGATCTGTCATAATTCATAAGGTACATATGTATTACACAGAAAAAATGCGTAAGTACTGAAACATCATCAGTCATAAATACTTTGTGATATTCAGTCTCACAGGCGGAAGTTAAAGAGTAGGAACATTAAGCGTGCTTACAATGTTCCTTGCTCTCAGATGCAGTGAACTCTTTCTTTGTGAGATAAAATTATTATATGCAGATTTTTTACGGCTATTGAACCAGGTGAGTGGCTTTGGTACATGTCGAATCGCAGTGTTGTTAAATGAGGACAGTACGATACATTAGGTGCCCATCTGAAATATGCGTTAATGTCAGTATGACTGCTTTTGAATCCGAACCGTGTGATAGATTATTATCTACTCATTAAATATCAAACTACACCGGATGGCTGTATCTTGTCCCTGTGGGGGTTCAGGGTAAGAAGAGGTGCCTGGTACCTAATGTCTGTTGTAAGCGGTCAGTCAAATTAGAATCAGGTAGTTAGGGTCTGTGACCCCTGATTGTATGTCATCGTTCCCCAGATGGCGTAGATCGTTGCTGTCAGTCACGATTAAGTGCTTGACTTATTGTGTGCAAGGGAGCCTTTTATACCCAGCCTTTTTCTTGCCAACCATGTTAAGGCAATGCAGGTGTTAATCGTACTTAGTATTAAACAATCAAATATATAACGTCATGCCCAAGAGAATAATCAGTCTCGATTATCTGTCGAAACAGATTCCATTTGGCGTAAATGTTAAAATAGCCGTCAGAAAATCTGTGATGACACCAGGTGTTCTCGGAACAAATGCACTGCACTGGTATCGACAGGTCACGTGAGTTATTACGATAATCACTGAAAGGCTGTCCTGACTTACAGTTTACGTCAGGAACTGATGACCGATCTGGTTTGGGCTTGTTTCTCTGTCAACCTTCAACTGGCGAACATAAAAACATGCGTCTTATATACAGACACTTCCTGGTCTTTAATGGGTCTTGGTGAAAGGGATCTGGAAGTAAGATTGATACTTGGCCTCTCTTGATGAATGTTGAAGGAAGCCGGTTTAATCAGCTTCGTTTCGTGACGGATCCCAATGTAATGGCATTGTAGGCACATTCCAGGAATACACACTTTGTTTATCTTGAGTTCAGAACAATAATGACAGCGTAAATTACGAACACCAGCCTGACATTGACCACTTTGATCAACGTTACACAACCTTGTCTTATCTTAATCTCCTTTATCACCAGCCCTGCGTCTATTACTGTGGCTATTATAAGGAAAACCCTGTTACGAGTATAGATATGTACCATATGGTGAACAGGATACATTGAAGGTTAAGAGTATCGAAGAGATATGTTGTTTATTTTCAAACGACTGCATTTCGCGAAGCCTTTATTAAAGTTACGTCTTCAATGTCACCCCAAACATGAACTTCTTCCTGAATGAACGCTTGCCGAGTAACGGAACTCCGCCATCTTGCACGTGGCAAACCTAGCATCCTTACTGTGTACTCGTGTGGTCGGGATCCTGCCACATATATGCTATGGAACGAAGCGAGGAATTCACTTGTTGCAAGCCACGGAGAGACGTAATGCCGACAGCCAAGTGATAAAAAGCCAAATAGCATTGCATCCAACTGTACCACAGCAGGGATGGAGCCAAGGACCGTCTGTCAGAAAGCTTTGCATGCGATTTCGTTTACTCCCTAGTAAACAAACCCACCACCCTTGGATTTTACCACGTGGTGGTCCATGCCGCGTGTACACTCTCCCCATGGGGTACCCATGCCGACAGGGAACCACCCATTCGTATAATAGAGAGCGGGGGTTATTAAATGATGAAGGGCTTGTGAATATGGAGACAGTGATAAGAATGTCTAGTTTTACCAAGTATCTCAATTATGCTAGGTTCCTGACATTAATGCCTCATCAATTGTATCACAATCTCCCCTCATCTGTGACAACGTCTTGTTTTGCCTTTGCCTCTGCAGACCGTGTCAACTAGTTATCGCAAGATACAGAGTGGTCTTTGTTTATGGTTTTCTCACAACCATATCTTACAGACACCTTGTATATGAAACATATAAAATATTTCACATATAAAATGATGACTCAATATTGACAATTACCACAGAAGTGATAAGATGCATGTTTTCAACATGTACTTACAATCAGTTTACCTTTAATCTCCCGTTGAGAGCTGTGGGGAGATAATTAATTTTCGTTAAATCTATGATGAAGTTTTTACAACTAAAACGGTTTTAGATAACCCCAGTAATTGCTGTGCCAGCTGAATCTGCAATAGAGAAGAAGGCATTAAGAACATTATCGTAGGAAGAGACAAAACCTTATAGAGGTTCCTGTATGTTCATTGCGTTTGCGACGTGAATAACTATATTTCGCAATCTCGCACCTGCTCCCCTCGCAGGACCAAAACGTTTGATAAAAACAGCAATCATTCTGACGTTATTTGTCCGCGTGAAGGTTTGAATTTTGTATTTAATTTTTTACGTTATGAGAATGAACAGAAAACAACGGAGACTAGATTGCTTCCTAATTTCTTTCCTTATGCTAATATTGACACTTTCCTTTGGGAATCTATTTCACCATATTGCAGTATGAAACAGCAGCTGATTTTGTGTAAAGGTATTTTCATCCGGCTCACCGATTTCTGAACGGTTGTCGCACGTATTGCTTTCAGTTTGTTTAGCAGTATTGGCAGACCAGAATGACACTTAATTACTCAGTATAGGACCTGAATGGAGACAGTATGACGTAATGTGATATTACAACAATAAACATCAGTGATGAAGACACATTGCCAGTGCTGAAACGTTTATATGAATAAAAAACGTCTATAATACAATTATAAATGTTTCCTATCTGCGTATGGTAAATACAAGTAATTAATCTGCGTAAAATTGTGTACAACAGCATGAACTATAAGTAATCTATCACAGCATTCTGTCTAACATTATATGCTTTAGCATACATACGATTTTCACAATTGACAAAATGTCTTACATATTCATCTTAACATAAATTTGATTTACACGTATTTAAAAATAAAAACATTTTTAATTCCTATGAAATTTTATACCAGTCTCTGTCTGCCGGTATTCCGTCATCAGAAGCAGAGCACTTCTTGGCTGGAGCGTCGCGGTGGAACATGTCGCTTGTCCCGTGTTCAAGCCCGTACATGCGTGAAGCCAGCCCATCCTTGGTGCTCGCTACTGTGGTGCGGCTGGAGTAGTGTGTTACAAGCGGGGAACATGTCGCTTGTCGCGTGTTCAAGCCCGTACATGCGTGAAGCCAGCCCATCCTTGGTGCTCGCTACTGTGGTGCGGCTGGAGTAGTGTGTTACAAGCGTGGAACATGTCGCTTGTCGCGTGTTCAAGCCCGTACATGCGTGAAGCCAGCCCAACCTTGGTGCTCGCTACTGTGGTGCGGCTGGAGTAGTGTGTTACAAGCGGGGAACATGTCGCTTGTCGCGTGTTCAAGCCCGTACATGCGTGAAGCCAGCCCATCCTTGGTGCTCGCTACTGTGGTGCGGCTTGAGTAGTGTGTTACAAGCGTGGAACATGTCGCTTGTCCCGTGTTCAAGCCCGTACATGCCTGTACATGCGTGAAGCCAGCCCATCCTTGGTGCTCGCTACTGTGGTGCGGCTGGAGTAGTGTGTTACAAGCGTGGAACATGTCGCTTGTCGCGTGTTCAAGCCCGTACATGCGTGAAGCAAGCCCATCCTTGGTGCTCGCTACTGTGGTGCGGCTGGAGTAGTGTGTTACAAGCGTGGAACATGTCGCTTGTCCCGTGTTCAAGCCCGTACATGTGTGAAGCCAGCCCATCCTTGGTGATCGCCTCTGTGGTGCGGCTGGAGTAGTGTGTTACAAGCGGGGAACATGTCGCTTGTCCCGTGTTCAAGCCTGTACATGCGTGAAGCCAGCCCATCCTTGGTGCTCGCTACTGTGGTGCGGCTGGAGTAGTGTGTTACAAGCGTGGAACATGTCGCTTGTCCCGTGTTCAAGCCCGTACATGCGTGAAGCCAGCCCAACCTTGGTGCTCGCTACTGTGGTGCGGCTGGAGTAGTGTGTTACAAGCGGGGAACATGTCGCTTGTCCCGTGTTCAAGCCCGTACATGCGTGAAGCCAGCCCATCCTTGGTGCTCGCTACTGTGGTGCGGCTGGAGTAGTGTGTTACAAGCGGGGAACATGTCGCTTGTCGCGTGTTCAAGCCCGTACATGCGTGAAGCCAGCCCCCATCCTTGGTGCTCGCTACTGTGGTGCGGCTGGAGTAGTGTGTTACAAGCGGGGAACATGTCGCTTTTCCCGTGTTCAAGCCCGTACATGCGTGAAGCCAGCCCATCCTTGGTGCTCGCTACTGTGGTGCGGCTGGAGTAGTGTGTTACAAGCGTGGAACATGTCGCTTGTCCCGTGTTCAAGCCCGTACATGCGTGAAGCCAGCCCATCCTTGGTGCTCGCTACTGTGGTGCGGCTGGAGTAGTGTGTTACAAGCGGGGAACATGTCGCTTGTCCCGTGTTCAAGCCCGTACATGCGTGAAGCCAGCCCCCATCCTTGGTGCTCGCTACTGTGGTGCGGCTGGAGTAGTGTGTTACAAGCGGGGAACATGTCG